CCCCCGCTTTAGTCTCGCCTCAGCCACTCTTGAGTCGCCGGCGGCGGAGAAAGGGGGCAAACCCGCATCCCCGACGCTCTCGAGACGTCCCCCTCTTTCAAAGCCCCGCCGACCGCAAATCCGCCCCTCAACTCACCCTCTCCGCCCGCCGCTGCCGCCGCGGACATGTCCTCTCGCGAGTTTTGGTGGCGGGATTTCATCCCTGGCGTATGTGGGAGGTGTGGATAAGAATACTGTACTTAGCCGTACGACGTGGGGGGGCGGGGGTAGGGTGTGAGAGAGAAGGGGCGTGGCGGTCAGAGCCGCGCGCCCAGCGTTTTAGAACCGGAGGCGGGGCGAAGGGGCGGTGGAGGAGGGCGGGCCCCTTGCGCGCCTCGCCCTGTGATTGGCGCGAAGAGGCGCCGGGGAGAAGGGGGCCCCGCGCGCCTCTTGTCAAGTGACTCCGCCTCCTTCTCCATCCGGGTATTTTCTCCCTCAGATTGCCTCTCGAGCGAGGCTGTGAGAGGCTGCTTTTTCTTTAGATGAGGAAAAGCGCGTTTTGTTTTTGGAGTTAAAAGAATAAATAAATAAATACATGCATACATAAATAAATAATAAACAAACGACATAGTCCGTCAAGGGCCGTTGTTTTCTTTCTCTGCCTGGCAAAAAATGAAATTATAGTTGAAAAGGCACCTTGGAGGTCTTCTAGTCCAGCCCCCTGCTTAACCTGGAGATGTCCCTGGATCCTTTTATGAAATATTTATGGATTAAAGGAAATATGTTCTAGTTTTGAGGAAGAGCAGCCTCACAACACTGTGGGAGGACAAGAGGATTTGGAGAAAAAAAGTTTATGATAAGGAATATTATATCTAGGTAGAGGTATTGATTGCACCTCCATAAATGAATGAAAGTAAACAGCATCAAAACCAACCCCCCCAACAATACTGTACAAATTTAGACTTCCATCAAAATTGACATCAATATCCAAGCTTGTTGCCCCTGAATGGCAAACTAAACTGATCAAGCTGCAAATGCCTTTTTATTGTTGCATATTAATTACACTCCACTGCCTGGATTTATGCCAAGCATTAAACTATTGTTTTCAAAACTTGGCCGTTTTCAAGATGTATGGATTTCAACTTCCAGAATCTCCAAGCCTCTTAGGACTACTTATGTCATGGAATCTAGATAAATATTTTATCCAGATGCTGCCTAGCATCCTTCTCAAGTTCAGATAGGTTTTAGAAGGAATTTATGAAATATGTACTGATACGTGTCAAGCTTCCGGAGGACAGCCAGTAAAACTCGCAACTTGCAAATCTGGAAAACGACAGAATGGCCAACGGATTGGAAGTGGTCACTTGTGCTAAAAAAAAAGAGTTAACAGAGGGTGTGAGCGGGTCATTCATTATCTTTAAGTTCATAAGCTAGCAAAATAATTCTAACACAGATCTGAACCTTCCATGGGAAAAGATGTGCTGGAAGTTCAGGCAGGAACACAAGATATTATTGCTGAATAATTGGAAATATGGAAAAGTAATAAGTATTTGCTTCTTTGATTATAGAAAGGTCTTCAACTGTGCCATCAAACTGTAGAATGTGGTTAAAAAGACAGGAATCCCAGGACATCTCATGTATTCGTGTACAACTTATACAAAGGGCAGGAAGCCACTGTCTAGACACTCCACGGTGAAGCAGACTGGTTCCGAGTCAACAAAGCAGTGAGGCATTGGTCTACATTTTTTTTTAATTTATTCAGTATATTATGATTTTACACTGGAAGAAGAGTGTGATTTTAAGACTGGAGGAAGGAAATAAATGGCTATGCTGATGACACCACCGGGCAAGCTGACAATGCAAATGATTGTCAGGTTTTAAAGAAGGAAAGTCAAGCAGTGCAGTGAAAAAATGGGACTAAAGGTGAAATGTAAAAAGCCAAACTAATAATGAGAATAACAAAGGCCTTTAAATTGACAGTGAAGGGACTGAAGTGATGGATAACCTCTGCCTTTTAGGATCATCAAGTAAAGGGACCAACAATAAATATGCTTCATACTAATACTTGGGAAAAGATATCCAGATGCAGTGATATGCAGTACCTAGAACTACAAAGAATAGAACTGATAAGAATAGAATAGAATAACAAGAGTTGGAAGGGACCTTGGAGGTCTTCTAGTCCAGCCCTGTGCCTACGCAGGAAACCTTACACCACTTCGCACAAATGGTTGTCCAACATCTTAAAAATTTCCAGTGTTGGAGCTTTCACAACTTCTGGAGGCAAGTTGTTCCACAGATTAATTGTTCCTCACTGTCAGGAAATTTCTCCTCAGTTCTAAGTTGCTTCTCTCCTGCATTAGTTTCCACCCATTGCTTCTTGTCCTACCTACCCTCAGATGCTTTGGAGAATAGCATGAGCATCCTTGAGCCTTGCTTTCATCCAATAGCATCCTTGAGCCTTGCTTTCAGAAATACCAAGAGCCTATTCTGGGATGAGATGGGCTTAACCGTGTTTGAGTCATCTCAACCAGGTGTCACCTCCAGGCATTCTTCTCCAGGTGGTACTTCTCAAGATCTGAGATCAAGTCATTCTTCCAGGCTTTGGCAGCNTCTATCCATCCATCCCTCTATCTATCCCTCTATCCATCCCTCTATCCATCCATCCATCCATTTATCCCTCCATCCATCAAATTTATTTGCCGCCCATCTCTTATCCAATGACTCGTCCTCTTCTTACATTACAGAGCACTGGATTAAAACTGGAAAGGCTCAAATCCCTTTGGATGCCTTTCTCTTCTCTCCACCTGACATGCCCCCGAGAGAGAGAAACGGCACACCCCTTCATCACCAAGGAGAAAATACGAACGCCTGCCTGCCTCCTACGGCTGCTGTCAATGAAGGGATGGGAGAGAGTGCACCAAGACTCCCTCTGCCTACTTCCTCCCCCTTGTTATATAATTCATCCTCTCCATCATTTTACATAAGTTTGCTACCTTGGAAACATGGAAACATGTTGCTGCATAGCAACAGAAAGCTCCAGCAGTCAGTAGAAATATTTTTGGGGAGTTCTCGCAGAGATTGTATTTATAGGTAAAGTAAAAGTTCCCCTCACACATATGTGCTAATTGTTCCTAACTCTAGGGGGCGGTGCTTCAAAGCCGAAGAGCCAGCGCTGTCCGAAGATGTCTCCGTGGTCATGTGGCCAGCATGACTCAACACCAAAGGCGCACGGAACACTGATCCCTTCCCACCCAAGGTGGTCCCTATTTTTCTACTTCCATTTTTACATGCTTTCGAACTGTTAGGTTGGCAGAAGCTGGGACAAGTCACGGGAGCTCACTCTGTTATGCATGCTAGGGATTTGAACTGCCAAACTGCCGACCTTTCTGATCGACAAGCTCAGCATCTTAGCCTCGCCTCCCATAAATACAGACCGGCTTGCCAAGCCTCTGAATTTTGATCCCCTAGTTGTGGGGTTGCGACTCGAGATGAACCTAAGCCACACCACCGTTCAGCACGGCTCAAAGTGCCCCACAGCCAATGGTTGCTGATACAATAGAAAGTATTAATCTTCTCTACATATAAAAGTGTGTGTGTGTCTGTGTGTGTCTGTGTGTTTCAGCATAACTTTGGAACGCCTCGAGCAATTTCAACCAAACTTGGTACACAGGTGACTTACTCTCTGGAAACAAATACTAGGGGGCCGGGGGGGGGGAAGACACCCCTAAAACTCCTAGGGATGTGTGTTCTGTTAAGATGCAGCCTGTTGTGCCTTAAAATGNCAGTCCCTTAATCCTCTTTGCTGCTCTTTGTTGATTGTCTAGTTGCAGAATGGGAGGTGGCTGTGAATTTGCCTTGCATCCTAAGACATCCCAGCTTAAAGAAGAAAAGATTTCAACTTAAGGATGAAGATACTTCAAAGATGACAAGCCAAACTGTAGGTAGTCCTTGACTTATGACCAGAATTTCCACTGCTAAGCAAGGCTGCTGTCAAGGTTACGCCCAGATTTTAGGACATTTTTTTTTTACCCACATTAAGCAGACTGTTAAGCAAATCAATGTAGCTGTGAAGTGACTCATCAGAACATTAATTAAGTCTATTTCCCCATTTCCTTGTCGGAAGCCAGTTGGGAAGGTCGCAAACGGTGATTGCACGAAACCAGGAGACCTCGAGTTCTAGTCCTGGCTTAAGGCACCCACTTTCTCTCAGCCCTAGGAAGGAGGCAATGGCAAACCACTTTTGAAAGAGCTTGCCAAGAAAACTGCAACAACTTGTTCTGAAAAACCAGGCACAATTGAATGGAATTGCTAGTTGACAGCAGTCGTGTTCATTTGGAGTGGCAACTAGCACCCTTAAAAATGGAATTGTTAACCCATCCATGAACAAATCAAAGTTATCTTAAGCGACGGGGAACGCTCACACAACCATTTCATGAATCTGTTCTGACCGAGGCTTCCAGAGAGCATGAAGCCAAATCTTTGTCCTGACAAAAAACCCTTTTATTAATTGACTGTGAATTCTGCTCCTTCACATCCAGCAAAGTCTTTCAAGGGAGGATTTACGGTCACAGACCTTCTCTGGCTTGGAGAACTGAAAGGACGATACCTGCAAAACTTGGCAAGGAGTCTTGGAGAGTCACGAACCAATTAAGCGAATGAATTATCTCCTGCAAACTCCACTCCCCTTTTGCCCCTCTTTTATTTCCTATGGGAGGGGCCATTCATCGTCCGTTCATGCGCTCACTGGGAACAGGCTCCAGCTGTTCTTCTGACTCACTGATATCTGTCTCTGAAGGCAGCTGTTAACTGTCAGACGGCCTGGCCCCCCTCTTTGCCTCCGACACAGATCCCTCATCAGAGCCTTCCCCAGACTCCAGGACTGGCCCGTGTTTCTCCCCAACCTCCTCACCGTCCAAATCTGCTGCCACCTCACCGAATCAATGTGAATCCAGCCCCCCCAAAAGGGACAGGGACTGAGACAGGGTCTTTTTAAAAAGAGTTGCAGAGAGCCCCAAACAGACCTGCTTTGCGAGTGTCGATCGAAACAGTGGCTGCCGTGGAATCTCTTGCTAAATCCAAGTTGGTTTCATCTCGCCCTTCTCTTTCTTCTGGAATTACCATGACGGCCTTCTCTCTGAAAGGAAGAAGAAGGAAAAGGGGGCATCCGTATGAATTAACCTTTAAGCACTAAAACTGTCCAGCTGGAATATTGGGGGGGAGAATCCACTCCAGGGCCATCAACATGTTTTAATTCTTGAGTTAGTGATAAGATAGGCAGCTATAGGAATGTTTTAATGCATAAATAAGTGAAATTCCTCCCATGGGCACCAAGGGCTGTCCCTGGTGATGATAGATGGCATTATTATCCATCATACTGTATCGGTCTGGGGAAGGTCAGGCTTGTAATTCACCACTAGCTGGGAAATACACGAGGATTTACTAATTTCTCTTCTGCAGCATAGAAATTGGGGCAATGAAATATAGGTAGCCCTTGACTTACAACCATTTGTTTAGTGACTGTTCAAAGCACAGCCCTGAAAAAGGGACATGGCTTTTTGTTCATACTTATGACCATTGCAGCATTTCCCAAGGATCAGGTGTTCAAAATTCGGATGCTTCGCAAGTGGCTCATATTTATGACTATTCCAATGTCCGCAAGTCATACCAACCCCTTTTACGTCCTTCTAACAAGGAAAGTTAATGGGGAAGGGCTCTCTCTCTCTCTCTCTCTCCCTTCCTCCTCTTCTCTCTCTCCCTCCTTCCTCTCTCTCTCCCTCTCTCCCTCCTTCCTCTCTCTCCCTCTCTCCAAGCCTTCCATTCTTTTATCCATTCTATATTCTATCTTTCTACCTACCTACCTACCTACCTACCTACCTACCTACCTACCTACCTACCTACCTACCTACCTATCATCCCTCCTATATCTATCCATCTATCCATCCATCCCTCTATCTATCCATCCATCCATCCCTCTATCCATCCATCCCTCTATCCATCCATCCCTCTATCCCTCCCTCCTATCTATCCATCCCTCTATCCATCCCTCTATCCCTCCATCCATCCATCCATCCATCCATCCATCCCTCTATCCATCCATCCCTCTATCCATCCATCCATCTATCCCTCCCTCCTATCTATCCATCCCTCTATCCATCCCTCTATCCCTCCATCCATCCATCCATCCATCCATCCATCCCTCTATCCATCCATCTATCTATCCATCCCTCTATCCATCCATCCCTCTATCCATCCATCCATCTATCCCTCCCTCCTATCTATCCATCCCTCTATCCATCCCTCTATCCCTCCATCC